TCTCCTCAATCTGTTGTCTCCTCTACTTGCTGCTGCTGCTGTTGCTGCTGCTGCTGCTGCTGTTTGGGGTGTATGTGCAGCTACCAGAAGCGAAATGTTTTGTTTGGGCGGCTGCCCAGCGCGTTGATGCTGTGTCTCTGCACCGGATGTGTCCCTAAGGACGTAGACACCTCAGACTGGGAACGCATGTATGCTCCTTGCTGCTGCTGCTACTGCTGCTGCTACTACTACTGCTGCTGCTGCTGCTACTGTTTCTGCTGCTGTTGCTGCTACGGCTCCTGCTGTTTTTCTGTCTCCGTTTGGTTGCTGAGGTGTTGTAGACACCTCAAACTGGGAACGTGTGGATGCTCCTTGCTGCTGCTGCTGCTGCTGCTGCTGCTGTGTCTCTCTCTTTCTGTTTGTTGTCTTACCTCTGCCGTTGTATGTCTCCTGTTTGTTGAGTTGCTGAGGCTGCTGCTGCCTCCGCAGCAGCAGCAGCAGCAACAGCAGCAGCGGCCTCTAATTATGATTATAATTAATCACTAACTATTATTGTGATTAATTATAATTAACTACTCTTATTACTATATATCATTATTCTTATTATTATTAATATTACAATGAAAGTTTATATGCATGCATGCATGCATGCATGCAGCGAGCTACCGAGCTACTGCGACGGCTTGAGGGATCCGATCTCAGGGCGAATTTACTGTGGAGGAGCAAACCCTGTCTTTGTGAAGTCCTTTAAACCAATTGCGAGCTGCTCTGCGCACTGTCTCTGCTCCCCAAAGTACTGCACAAACAGGTTAGATATAATAGCTTGCTGCTGCTGCTGCTGCTGCTGCTGCTGATGCTGATGCTGCTGATGATGATGCTGATTACAGTTGCTGCTGATAGGGAGTGTGTGTGCATGCATGCAGATTGCCGGAAGATTTGCAGTACCGCGTTGTGGTGGCGAAGACGCGCCACGCAGGCTGGGAGTTGCGAACCCTTGTACCTAAACCCTAAACCCTAAACCCTAAACCCTAGCTTTAAGTTGCTGCATAAGGAGATAGGCGGGTGTCTTCTCTGTAGTCTATTAAAACCCTAACCCGTCCGGGGGTTTATTATAAGGTGGCTGTTGAATTTATTTGAGTAACAGAAAGGGTTGATTTGCTCTTTCGCGTGCGCAGCAAGGGTTTAGGGTTTAGGGTTTAGGGTTTAGGGTTTAGTTCCTCTTTGACGTGTGCAACAAGGGTTTAGGGTTTATTGTTTGTGGTGTATTGTTAATTATTTTTTTGTATTTTGTTTATTATCGCTTACTGTTTGGTGTTTATCATTGTTTATTATTATTTACTGTTTGCTGTTTATTATTGTTTATTGTTTATTGTTATATCTAATAATTTATCTTGATAATAATTTATTATTTATTATTATTTATGGTTTATGATATAAAATTAATAAATAATTAAAACTTATAATTAATAATTGATTATATATTATAATTAATAATGAACAGTATATAATTGTTTGTATATATGTGCATACAGGAGAATATAGCTAAGGGATCTTTTATAATGCAGTATGTAGGTGAAGTAATACCTCGAGCTGTAATGGACGGGCGGTCTAAGCAAGAGACAAGAAGAGGTCATCATAATTATTGTATGGAGGCAGTTGGAGAAGAAAGAGATTTAGAGTATGACTGGGCTGCTCCTTGCATTGATTCGCTGGTTAGTCTTTTTTATATCTTATTCTTCGCTCTCTTTTGTTTATTACTCACCATATTTAGCCCTTTAGTTTAATATATTATACTAATCGTTATTGTTATCGTTTTAGTTTTATAAAGAAGAACAAGAAGGAGATTTAGAATATTATTAGGCTGCTGCACAATAATAATAATAATAATCACAATAATAATAATATAACAATAACAAAATAATATAATAATAATATAACAATATAATGAAATAGTATAATAATAATATAATAGCAATAACAACAATATAATATAATAATAATACTATAAGAAGAAGAAAGACATTGAGAAAACGACGCACGCATGCATGCATGCATGCATGCATGCATGCATTGTTAAATGTTTGATCTTTGTTTGTTTGAGGTGTATGTACAGTTCATTGGGAACGCGAGCAGATTTTTAAATCATTCTTGCGACCCCAACGTCCGCGTAGCTACGATATGGAGGGGCCCCTCTTTACCCCAAGTAGGGGTATTTGCTAAGAAAGATATTCCTGCAGGTATCATAAACCCTAAACCCTAAACCCTAACAATAAACTAAACCCTAAATCCTAACAATAAACTAAACCCTAAACCCTAACCCTAATCTAAACGTCAAACTGTAAACCTTTACTCTAAACCGTAAGGCCTAAACCCTATCCCCAGTATAAACCCTAACATGCATGCATGCATGCATGCACGCATGTTAGGGTTTAGGGTTTAGGGTTTAGTTGTGTGTATTCGTTTTGTCTATGTTTTGCTGTCTATGTTAAGGCTCCCCTCTGACGTACGCGTACGGGCCCGGGTACGAGGAGATGCTTTGTCTTTGTGGGGCCCCCAACTGCGAGGGGTTCATTGGTGGGGGATCGGGATCGGGATCGGCCGATCCCAACAGCGACAAAAGCAACTCCACGTGCGTGGTGAGCCTGGGGCTTAGAGCTGCTGCACCACTCTCTAAAAAACAAGGTGCTGCATAAATCAGAAGCAAAATAGAAAGAACAAGCTCAAGCAGCAGCTGCTGCTGCAACATATGATACTGCTGCTGCTGCTGCTGCTGCGGGGCGACTGTCCGCTTGGTACCAGCAGCAACATCAGCAGCAGCAGCAACAGCAGCAGCAACAGCTTTTTCAATTCGGGACTCTTGGTCTTCCGACCTCTCCAGCCTATTTCTTTCTGCATGCGCGTAGCGCTAGCTGCCTAGCTAGCTAGCTAGCTAGCTAGCTAGGCAGCTAGCTAGTAAGGGATATGCCGGTTTGAGAGCAGTGAGAAGCAGCAGCAGCAACAGCAGCAGCAGCAACAGCAGCAGCAGCAACAGCAGCAGCAGCAGCAATAGCAGCAGCAGCGCTGCAGGATCAGCGTCTATAGAGCGACCAATCTGCCTACCAAAGTGTGGGGTGATATCAGCATCAGAAAACACCTTAGAACTCCTCCTGCGACACTACAGCAGCTAGCTACAGCTAGCTACAACTAGCTACAACTAGCTGCTACCGACAACTGGCTACAGCTAACTACAGCTAGAAACAACTAGCTGCAGCTAGCTACGACTGTTTATGACTAGCTACGACTAGCTACAACTAGCTACAGCTAGCTACCACTAGCTACAGCTAGCTACAGCTAGCTGCAACTAGCTTTAGCTGGTGGTTTCGCTATCTAGCAAGTCGCCTAGCTGCTTTAGAGCCTACGAAGGCCCCGAAGTTCAAAATAGAGAAAGAGAGATTGCCCGTGCTGCTGGTGCTGCCGCAGCTGCAGCAAAAATGCTGCTGCTGCTGCTGTTGTTGCTATTACGGGAGCAGCAGGAAGTGTCTTTGCGCAGCAGCAGCTGCTGCAGGAGGGTGAAGGATGCTGCTGCTTGCATGATATTATATCTATCCTTCTCCTTCACCCCAGGAGTCTTTTAGGGTGAAGGGTGTTGACGCGTTGAAGAGCTCTTTGCTTGCTGCTGCTGCTGTTGCTGCTGCTGCTGCTGCGGGGGGGGCCCACAGGTGGTTCTTGCCCGGCTCCCAAGTGAGGAGGGGCCCCTCTTTGATGATATATTTATATTCTAGTCGACGCACTCCTGGTGTACGTACACCCCAAAGCAAAAGGAAAAGAAAAACATACAAATATACATATAGCAGCGGGTGCTGCTGCTGCTATGCTGGTGAGCAGCATCAGTAGCAGCAGCAGCTCAACAGCAGCACAAGCACCAACAGCAGCACAGGCAACAGCAGCAGCAGCAGCACAAGCACCAACACCAGCACAAGCACAAACAGCAGCAGCAACAGCAGCAGCAGCAGCTGCACAAGCACCAACAGCAGCAGCAGCAGCAGCACAAGCACCAAC